CTCAGTCGGTCGAAAGCATCAGCGTCCTGCCAAGCTTCATGAAGCCCGAGATTTCAACGATCTTGTTGGTTTAGATGGTTTCTATTGGTCTGGCAGTCGTGGTTTTCGTGTTCATGTCTTCCACTGTATCGATGAGGCTTCATTGTTTCATTTGGGCCGCCGTTGTGAAACACGAAACCCTGATCAAGTGATTGACACATGGACAAATTTCTGGACCTCTTGGGCTGGGGATCCTGTTCAACTTTACACTGACCCAGCAGGTGAATTTATTTCTCTTGAGTGGAAGGATTTGTTGCGCAATCGGGCAACCCAGCCCTTAGTGACCCCTGAAGCCTGGCAACGCGGCCGCGTTGAACGTCATGGCCAGATTTTGAAAAGGATGCTGTCACGCTGTGACCTTGAAAGACCAATTGAAAATGAACAAGAGTTTGATCGCGTTTTGCAGGCCTGTTTTCAGGCAAAGAATGCCCTCACTCGCCAACAAGGATACTCCCCTGAACAGATTGTGTTGGGAAAGTCTCTACGCCTACCCGGCAGTCTTGCCTCAGATGACAGTGCTTTGTCCCACACTTTGGCCCTTGGAGATGAACCAGAGAGTGAGAGCTTTCGCCGCCTACTGGAAACACGGACCATCGCCAGAAAATCCTTTCTGATGACTGACAATGATCAAGCCATTCGAAGAGCCCTTCTTAGACGTTCATGTCCCACAAGAGGCCCCTTTGAACCTGGTCAGCTTGTCATGTATTGGCTGAAAAGACATCGTGCCAGTCGTCAAGAAGCTGGGCGTTGGCATGGTCCAGCTAAGGTAGTTTTGCAAGAAAGCCAGTCTGCCGTGTGGATTACTCATGCTGACCGGTTATTCAAATGCTCTCCTGAGAGTTTGCGTCCTGCGTCATTGCGAGAGTGGAACACTATGTATGGTCATGACTCTTCTTGGATTCCAGAGATTGCACCACTTGAGACCGAGAACAAAAATCCCATCACTCCTGTTCCATCAGAACCGTATGAACCAAGCATTGCACCGGAAATTCCAAACCCAGGTATCAATAATCCATCCATAACCCCTAACTCCTCAGTACAACCCGAAAGTGAACTTTTTCCTGATCCAAATAACCAGCTTCCTACGGGTGAAATAGCAGAACCAGTTGAAGATCCCCCACAGGATGAAGAGTCACTTGACCTGGACGCTTCAGAAGAGCCAAATGGCGATCATCCAGAAAATGCCATGCCAATTTTGCATTGCCATGCTCTGGATTCCTCCGTTTATGAATGGACACAGTTTGATCCCGGAGAAGCCACCCAAGATGTCCTGTTGGCCGATGATGGACTTCCCATGATCGTGAATCCTCTTGAATGTGAAGAACAACAGTGCTTTGCTCTGTCCATTGATTTAAGTGACACTGATGTCCATCGATGGGCTGCTGCTGACAAGCCCGAAGAAATGGCTTGGCTTGCAAGTGTGAGCAAACGTGCTCGTGCGGAAGTTTGCATCAAGAACCTCAATTTAGAAGAGAAGCTTTTATTCGAAAAAGCTAAGGATGCAGAGCTGAACTGTTGGATTCAAACCAGTGCTTTGAAGCCTATTCTCCGAAAGAAGCTTAACCCAGAACAAATCCTCAAATCTAGATGGGTTTTAACTTGGAAGTCCATCAATGAAGAAAGCCCCGAACTTCCTCAGAGAAAAGCCAAAGCTCGGTTAGTTGTCTTAGGATTTCAGGACCCCAAACTGTGTGAAGTAGCTCGTGACAGTCCCACGTTAACCAGAGAGGGTCGTCACACCATTTTACAAACAATTGCCTCTCGAGGCTGGACCTTGTCATCCTTCGATATTAAAACTGCTTTCTTGCGTGGACAGTCCGACAGTAACAACCCACTTGCTATGGAGCCTCCAGTTGAACTTCGCAGGAAATTAGGCCTTTCAACGGATCAAGTGTGTGCCTTAGTGGGAAATGCCTATGGCAGAGTCGATGCCCCTTTACTATTCTATCAAGAACTCAACAAACAATTGCAGAAACTCAAATTTGTCAGACATCCGCTTGAACCTTGCGTTTTCATGTTGGAGACCGGCAGTGGCCAGAACCGTGTTTTACACGGTGTCCTTGGAACTCATGTGGACGATGGAGTTTGTGGCGGTGACCAATTCTTTCATGATCAGCTGGATGCCCTTAAGAAAGTTTTGCCTTTTGGTTCCTTTAAGCAACGCAAGTTTGTCTTTACCGGTATCCATTTGGAACAACTTCCTGACAACAGTATTCTAGCTTCACAACAAGAATATGTCAGAAACATTCCCGCCATCGACATTGGTCGACCACGGAGACAGACTCCGGACTCCCCAGTGACCGAAGTGGAACTCAGCAAGCTTCGAGGTGTCATTGGAAGTCTTCAATACGCTGTGACGCATACAAGACCCGACATGGCCGCCAAACTTGGAGAAGTTCAGGTACAGATTTCCAAAGCCAGTGTCCAAACATTGTTGTTAGCCAATAAAGTACTTCGTGAAGCTCAAGAAACAAGTGATGTTCGTTTGTGTTTTCGTAGCATTCCTGTTGATCAACTTACCCATGTCAGTTTTGGTGATGCCTCTTTTGCTAGTGCAAAACAACTTGCCTCTTTTCAAGGAACTTTAATTTGTGCAACAACTCCAGATTTAAATAAAAATCAGCTGGCACCTGTGAGTCCGTTGACTTGGACTTCAAAGAAGATTGCGAGAGTTGTCCGATCAACTCTTTCCGCTGAGGCCTTTTCCATGTCTGGCAGTGTAGACCGTCTTGGTTGGATGAGACTCTTGTGGGGTACCCTCAATGTCCCTGACTTTTGTTGGAGGGAACCAATTCAGGGATTCCAAATGCTCCCGAGTGCCACCATAGTCACTGACTGTAAAAGTCTTTATGACTTAGTTAGCCGCACAGCGATGCCATCTTGTGAAGAATTTCGTACTACTCTTGAAGTTTTATTAATTCGTGAACGCTGCCAGGAACATTGCGTTTTCAGATGGATTCCAACTTCTCTTCAAGTAGCCGATGCTCTTACAAAACCTATGGACCCTGTGTTGCTTCGTCAAGTCCTAGCCTCTGGAAAATTTCAGCTGTATGATGAAGCTGAATCCCTGGAGAAAAATGCCCATAAGAAACAAGCTGTACGTTGGATGAAAGCTCAGACTGACGTACCTTCCAAGACCGATGTCACATCAAAAGAAAATTTAGGGAGTGTGATTTGTGTGTAACATGTCCACCCTGATGTTACCTTGATGTGACTGCATGTCAACCCTTGCACAGACAGCATGTTCCGTGGCCTTATGGTACAAAGGCCTTGCGGTGGGTGGGCTGTGGTTTTCCTTGGTGTCGGACACCAGAACCTTTGCCGAGAGCCATTCCTGGGAGGAAAATACTGGCAGTGCTGCGGATTTCATTTGGTGAGAAGACAGGGATCTTCCTTTTACATTTCAGTTGGTGGGACCACTTCATTTCTTTGCAATCAGGGATTGTGGATTCTTGGGCTACCAGTGGGAAGGGGAGAAATCCCTTTCACAATATATACGCGCAGTATATACTACGGTAACTATATTTAAATATACGGACTTTTAAATATACGAACTGGTATTTTAGACTACCTCCGGGAAGGTTTTCCTTGGCCCGCCCGGATCCGCCCGGCCATTTAAACATACGGAATCCAATTGAATTTTAAACATACGGTAACCACATTTAAATATACAAACTGGTATTTCATACTACCTCTGGGGCCTCGCGGTCTGGCCCGCCCTCCACATATTTAAATGTCGTTACCGTATATATAGTGTTACATCACCCAACAGATTTAAAGGACCAACCAATCTATAATAATTGATGGGTTTACCTTCTAAAAAGATGATGCTCAATACCGCATGGAAGCTTTTGGGAATCCAACGACATTGGCTTGTTCACCGGGATTTCGAGAATCCAGCTTGCAATATATGTAATCGACATGGCAGATGCAATTGTAACCAAGCCGTCATTCAGCTGGCCTTTTCCTTTGGTGAATGGCTAGATCTACATTTCAGTTGGTTGTACCACCAATTTGTCGCATGCCTCGTTTCTGTTGTTTACATCGTCATTATTGTGGGTTAAGCTCCCATTGTTGTTGCTTATCATCTGCATTTCTGCTGATCAAATTAGTCAAATCAACCTATTCAGTCAGTATCAGTCGGTTACAGTAAGTCTTCACGTTTTGGCTATTGTAGTTACATTGACCTTGACCCACTGTCATGGTGGACGCACAATTTTCAACCTGTGTTTATTTGCAAATAGGCTACTCCCAGATCCTACGGTTTATCATCAAATTTCCCCGTGAAATGTCAAACCTGGTGCATCCTCATCCCCTACTTTGAGGGAAACCCATGGGCACAAATGCCCAGCCGCAGGTTCTGAAGCTCCGTCGAATCCATGCCATCTGTGAGGTTAAACCTGGGTCCCGGGCAAATGAACCATGCGATTTCATCAAAAAACATGAGAATGATATGCCATGCACAAAAAATGAGGCATGTAAACAGCATCAAACGGTTGTAGCCTGACTCACATATTTTACTTATGTTTGATGCAACGGCTGATTATTGCATGGGGGGCGCCTCCTTCCAACTTTTGGTTCCCGGGAAACGCCAAAATCCTACCGCTTGGCTATGACTTCAGGTCACACGATTTCATCGCTTGTACGTATTCTTGCAGTTTCTAGTCTGGACAACTTGCACACACAGCCAAAATAATTTTCCCACATGATTGGTAGGCTACACCATAAGGTTCTCAACCGCCAGGCAACCCCTCAATGGGGAAGCACGCGATATCCTCATGTTTGCAACACCGCCATGGTTGACTCTCCCAAGGATACCCAGTCTTTGGTGGACTCCCACGTTTGTTGGTTAATTTTGCCAGTTTTCTCTTGAACTTTCATGTTCTCTTCGTGACATCCCAATTCTAGGTTGTAAACTGCCAAATTTCCTTGCTTCTGTGCCCGTTTGGATTGATTAACTCCTATTGTTTCTGGATCACATTCGATTTTCGGGTTCCTGAGTCTCCATATTTGATTGTTCTGTTATACCATATGTTAAAACCCCAACTCTTCAACCAACAGGGGGTCACTTCACCAAACATGGCTCTGCCCAGCAGCTGTCGTTCCGCTGTTGCGATGGCCGCAGCCGATCCCACGCCCAGCAGCTGAAAGAAGCGCTGCAAGTCCAAGTCCCTGACCCAGCTGAAACTGGTGGATGGGAGCTGTATACCAATGAATATATCGTATATAATGGATAGATGATAGGTATAAGGGGTAGATGATGGATATATAATGGGTAGCTGATGGGTAGATGACGGGTAAATAATGAGTAGATGATGGGTAGATGATGGGTAGATGATGAGTAGATGATAGGTAGATAATGGGTAAAAAAAATGGGAAAAGTACATGAAAATAATTACTTTACTTCGAGTTATCCCCATCATGACATCTACAGTAATATACGTTTTGTTACTGGCAAATCTTCTGGCACATATCTTCTGGCATTTTATCTGGCATATCTTCTGGCATTCTATCTGGCAAATCTTCTGGCGTTCTACCTGGCATATCTTCTGCAATATGTTCTGGCATATCTTCTGGCACTCTATCTGGCATATCTTCTGGCATATCTTCTAACATTCTATCTGGCATATCTTCTGGCACTCTACCTGGCATATCTTCTGGCAGATGTTCTGGCATATCTTCTGGCATTCCATCTGGCATTCTATCTGGCATATCTTCTGGCATTCTACCTGGCATATATTCTGGCAGATGTTCTGGCATATCTTCTGGCATTCCATCTGGCATTCTATCTGGCATATCTTCTGGCATTCTACCTGGCATATCTTCTGGCATATGTTCTGGCATATCTTCTGGCATTCCATCTGGCATTCTATCTGGCATATCTTCTGGCATTCTACCTGGCACATCTTCTGGCATATGTTCTGGCATATCTTCTGGCATTCCATCTGGCATCTTCTATCTGGCATTTTATCTGGCAAATCTTCTGGCATTCTATCTGGCAAACATTCTGGCACTTTATCTGGCATATCTTCTGGCATTCTATCTGAAATTTTATATGGCATTCTATCTGGCATACCTTCTGGCATTCTATCTGGCATATCTTCTAACATTCTATCGGGCATATCTTCTGGCACTCTATCTGGCATATCTTATGGCATTTTATCTGGCATATCTTCTGGCATTCTATCTGACGTTCTATCTGGCATATCTTCTGGCATTCTATCTGGCCGTTGAGGTCCAGCGGTGCACACTAAGCTGGGCAGGTCCCAGGTTGAGCAGTGTACACTGAGCTGGGAAGGTCCCAGGTTGAGGTCCAGCGGTGCACACTGAGCTGGGCAGGTCCCAGGTTGAGGTCCAGCGGTGCCCACTGAGCTGGGAAGGTCCCAGGTTGAGGTCCAGCGGTGCCCACTGAGCTGGGAAGGTCCCAGGTTGAGGTCCAGCGGTGCCCACTGAGCTCGGACGTTGGCAAAGAGCTTGGCGAAGAGTTGGCAAGACAACAGTGGACGTGGAAGTGGAGGCAGAGGTGGATAGCTAGCCGAGGAGGAGGAGGAGAACAACTGTGATAAAATCTAACAACCCTCACTTGGCAGGTGGGGAAATAGGAAAATACATAATGGAACATAAAGCTGGTTTTGGTATATAATCGGGGCCTATGAACCATCGAATATATATATATATAGACACACACACATATATATATAGACAGTAATCAGTATATATATATATACACATGCTATTTATGGGAAAATCATCTATGAATGAATGGATATAAATCGGAGATTCCCTAACGCATCAATGGAGAACAATTGGTGTATTATCCACCCATCCAAAGAATCCAGATCTGTCTGCCATAAATCCTGGTGTGTTATACTTGTTTGCAAAGCGGCCTATCGTTTTGGGTGCCCTTCTTGTGTGAACCGACGAAGGGTTTAACCAACAGATAGGGTTGTTCTCCAGCAAAAATTAGGAGGATTTCTCTCAACAATTGGGATGCAAATGATCAAACATGGGGACTGCATGGGGATATAACCCAACAACCAACAATGATGCGGGAAACTGTGATCACCATTCTTTGTTGGTCAGTATCAACTAGACACCATCATTTCTCACTGGGTGATATCAACTGAATAGGCAATTTGTTTGTTAGATACTTGTCACTAAGATCGTTATCCATAGATTCCCCCATCCTCGGTCATTCTTGTTTTGTTGGTTTGTATCCCCATTTCCGTTCCTCAAATCTACATTTACTTGTTTAGATTCCAATGTTCAATCACCATCTTCTCCATTATTACCCGTTGCTTGTTGATTTATATCCCCGTTTTTGAATGTCAGTCGACTCCAATTCTTGAAGAAGTACAACGGCATTATAACGATACGACCCCCATTTGTGTTGCTTAAATCTTGAATCGTTTCTGCTTGCTTCTCACTATCCCCACTTGTGATCACTTCTGCTGCTGGTTA